TATTTATGTCTGATTTTACTAAGGCGAGGTGCAAGAAACGAAACGAAGAATCACAGAACCACAAAACCAGGAGAAATAGAATAAAGAGCTGCTCTGCCACATTGCATGTGCATTCAAAAGAAATTAGTATTATTTAGAAGCTTTTGTTTGAGTAAAATTGAGTATAGAACTGAGAAGTGTGAACGTAAAAAGATCGTCGGTACTTTAGGGTGGGTTTTATGTGCGTGAGGAGATACTTATCAGTCTTAATACGCGTATTGAGACATCCCGATAACCGTTTTACACTCTAAGACTTCTCAACTCAGTGACAAAGATTGCTATAACTCTCTGAAGTAGCTTATATAAATCAAGAATAATGTGAGTCCAAGGTGTGAACCTTGCGGGACTCCGAAACTTTTCTGCGAGCAGCGATATTATATGCGGTCTCTTCCAGCTGCCTTCGAGAGAAAAATTTGTTGTTACGTCCCTGTGTTTAAGAGGAGCCGGTGTATAATCATTCTTGAGCGGTTTTTAATTTTCCCTAAATCAATAGTGGGGCGTGGCAGCGGGAGAGAGAAGTGCCTTATCATCGCCGTAAAGTGTCTTAGCAAATTGGACTTTGTTTTTCTGGGGCTTTGAAGGAATCATCGGATCCGCTGCCGGTCTACAATTTTCAATCATTAGGCTCCGACTAGCCACAGTAGGTAAACACACACAAACTGTGGTAGATATGGCTAGGCGGGATCCAAATCGTATCGTTCCAGATGCCAGAAAATCTTTCCTTCCAGAAATGGTCAACATGTTTTGCGATAAAGATCAACTTGTACTGTTGATGATGTAAGATTTGCATTCTATTCTGCATTATACAGGGTGACTTTGAAGTTGAGTCTTTAATTTTCAGATAATGATTGTAGAAGGAAGATAAACCAAAATATGTGTGTAAAAATAAACAAAAAATTAAAAAAAAATGTTACCTTGTTTTATAAAGTAGCCTCCCGACAAGTATTTCAGTGCGGACCTGTATTTGATCGTGAGGTCTTGGAGCACCGGCATGCCGTCCATATGTGAGGTCTTAAGTCAAATGATTCACGAACCCGTTGTCCTACATTAACAAAGGCACGAGGGGTTGGTTGCACTCGATTGGGAAACCGATACGCATAAACATGAGCCATTTTTTATTTCGTTTGAGCCACGCAACAGACACCACTATCCACTACCGACTGACACTGACTGTATACAACTGAATGAAATAATTGTAAAAACATCGTTCCAAATTCTTTCGCTTTTTTGTTTCCGATGCGATGAACCGATAAGGCGGATTATATCCGTTGTCGCCAAACACGAGCACATAATATTATTATTGAGACAGGGCGGTACTCAAACTTCCAAAGGGCTATAACTTTGTTACTTTAATTTTACCAGAAAAATGGTAAAGGAAAAAAACATTTCTTTTGATCAGATCTACCCACTGTTAAAATAAATGACTCAACTTCGAAGTCACCCCGTATAGTTAATATAGTAGTATAATATAGTTGAACTCTGCTAAGGAGGTGGTAAGGTGTAAACCGTATGCTACTCCAAATTGCTTGTTCATGATTCAATCTAAAGGCTTAAAAACGATCCCGTTGATCAACGATACTTTTAAAAACGCCCGTACATAATCGTTAAACCGACGCGATTCATAATTCTCTACATAAAAATCCATAATTTGAAACTATTCCACCAAATCTACAGTTATACGTTGTGCAGCTTGTAAATTTCAAATATCATCCTAACAACTTCCTCTAGCATCGATATTTATTCATCTATAACCTTTTCAAATACGATCTATCCAAATGTTTTTTCCGCTGATTTCAGTTCATTGGCGACGAAATATGGAATTATAAGGAAGCTCACAAAATCGAAAGCAATCGAAGAAAAATTATATAAGTGATTGAGGTAGTTTGATGTTTTTTGGTTTTTGAAATTCGACATATTTTTTTAAACATCACCGTCATTTACATGTTCAAGAATCGATTTTTAGTTCTATACTTGCAACTTAATTGTAACCGAGATGAAAACCTAGCTGCCATATTAGAACCGCTATTTCAATTAACATTTAAAATTCAAATTTGATCTCAATCAAAATATTTTTTTTTTGTAAAGATGTACACCATACTAAATCCGCGATTTAAATCGTTGACAAATGGATATCACATTATTTGTTGCTAGCGACCTGAAAAAACGTAGTCATAGGATTTTTTTGTAAAACTCAGTAAATCTTTCTGTGTTTGGCCATATCTAAGGACTTTTGAACCTGTGTGAGCATACATTTTTCTTATAGTTATTTAATCGTTAATCATTATTACTCCCACCTTTGGAAGACTTATGAAATTTATACCTATAAAACTTTCTTCCATTTTATTTATTGTGTATATCACACAGCAAACTATGCAAGCAATATATTACGACTTAATTTTATCTACATTATAAAATACAAAGTGAATAAAAAATGCATGATTTGGTAGTAATTTTGTCCGTAACACTGAAGAATAAGTCACCCTTCTGTGTGTTTACCGACGCCTGTGTAGCTGAAAACCGAGAAACCACAGCGGCGGCAGGCAAAAGGTGCCTCGTCACTGTTTAAACTTGACTTTATTTCGGAAAATTACCTTTTGGCGTCAATGTAATACCAACACGTAGCCAGCCGTCTAGGATTTGTGGAAAAAATTTCACAGTTGTCGACACGGTTTGTTAGCTGAGTAAACGAGACAGATACGGTGGATTAGCACACCGAAGAATCTTCTCTAATTCGTTTAAAATTAATTGTTTTTCGGTTTCCAGTAATGGATGGGAATCATTACACAGAAACACAGATACGGAAATGTGCAGGTACATTGAAAAATATGGGAAGTGATAAGAATTATAAATTGGATTCTTCTAAATCTGCATCCCTTTCTTTGCAATGGATTAAAATGTGTTGGTTTAGATATAATTTGAATTTGAAAAGTACAGATTGAGTTCAATTTGTCTTATTGACAATAAATCCACGGATTTCTTCATAGATTGAGTTCACAAAGGTGTAATTTGACGTCACGAAATTAGAACTTGTTACTTCCCGTTCAGTAAAAAAAACTTCATAACACGAAGTTCGTGAAGCTATTTTCATACGTAGCCACTCTGTGTGAGTGCTCTGCAACGAGAGAAATCGCTTTATAGGGATTACTGTAAATAATATGCCGCAAATTCCTGCCTTGACGATTTCGATAGAAACAATCGACACAAAGTTGAAAAAGCTAAACGCACAGACCCATACAGGTATGTCTATATGTAATAACATCAATTTCAGCATACCCGAGATACAAACGACATTTTAAACATGTCGCTTATTTAATTTTTATAAAGCCCCATCAAGACAGAGCGGCGGTTTTCAACTCTGAATTCCGATGACAATTTTTTCTGTACAGCAATTATTCCAACTGTTGCCTCGAATTACGAATTATTACACACGAGCTTCGGATATTATTACTGTTCGTACATATACAGGGACATTCCAGATATTGTATCGAACGATGTAGTTATGACACGAACTACGCATAGATCTGCGTTGCAGAAGGTAAAAGGTTTAAATGTTCATTGTTTATAGAATTCCTCGAAATTAGAACTTTGACATGATAAGTACTGTTTTTGTAGTGTGTAACGTGGGTTCTCTAGTTGAACTCGTACGACTCTGTATACGTAATAAGTCGCTTGACATACCGAGGGATTTCGCTGAATAAATGTATGAATTGGCGTCATTAAAAAACGTTTACCGCTGTTTTTATGAACTTACCGGTTACATTGATGTGTATGTATTCGATGTAAACTTGACGCAGGTGATGAAAGGGAAATGTGAACAGCATAAGCGCTTTACTTGGAGGCTGCTCTATACTTAAATATATGATCGTTCATTTTACCTCTGATGAAGATTAAAGGTGACCTGGAACCATAAGCTATAGCACACCAAACCATAACTCCAACAGTGTGATGAACATGTCTTTCAACAAAAAACTGTGGATTCCTCCTTTCACCACGTCGCCTTCTAACCCTGGCACGACCATCGTGCATGCCTAAACAAAATCGAGACTCGTCACTAAAGACAATACTGTTTGTTCCATTCCTGATCCCAGAGTGACCGTTGTCTGCACCACTCAAGGCGATTACGTCGGTGTTCTTGAGTTAAAGGGAGGACCCAGTGTGGCCGGTATGAAAACAAGCCAAAACTTCTCATTCGTCGGTAAACACTTCGCATGCCAATAGGTCTTCCGTGTTCTGCAAACCATTCATTTGCAATGGACCTGGTAGTGGAGATACGGTCCCTTAAGGCCAATAATCTTAGGCGGCGATCTTCACGGTCTGTTGTTCTACGGCGGCGTCCAGTGCCCCTTGCTCTTTGCGTACTGCCTTCTCGAAGCCATGCCTGACAACACCTAACCACAGTGTCTACACTTCTTTGCACTCTAACTGCAATTGCCCGAAAACAAAGTCCAGCTTCCCGAAGTCCCACTATACGGCCCCTATCAAACTCACTAAGTTGACGAAATCGTACAGGTCTCCGCACTCTAGGCATCGTAACCGATCGTAAACGATGTCAAGAACCAAAATCCGCCAACGTTGATTCTTTACTGCGGCTGAAATATTCCTTTTTAGAGCGTTAGTGAATTAAAAAAAAGCAGTATAAAAACCGGAATGTCCAACTGATAAGGCTGAAAATTTTTTCACTTGTTATTTACAGTAAGATAAATACATTCACCAACTTTTATTAAAATAAAACTATTTAAACTGGGTGTTCGGATTTATATGTCACTTAGTATATAAGTAATGTTTATGAATTCTTATAGATCGTACTACATAAACGTTGTCGAAATAACTGAGACACGATCCGACGAAATGAAACGGGACAACTATTAACATATAGAAAAGAAAAATAGTTAACCCAAGTCTTTGAAATATGCCTGCACAGAATGAACATGTATCTACAACCCCTTCTATTTTGTTTCCAGAACGAAATGGAAACGCCAAACGGCGGTAGGCCTGGAGCTCCTCGCCGAAGCCGGCAATTACGCCGCGTTTCAGCGGCTGTACGGAGCGCCCCCTTACGGCTGCTGGTACCCGGCACCTCAGGCGGCTGGTCCGGCAGCGACGGCAACGCCCTCGCCCGCAGACATCTACTACAGGCAAGCGGCAGCTGCAGCGGCCGCCACTCTGCAGAAACCACTACCTTACAGGTAACAATAATCCATTTCTAGTCTTCCTAGTTTTTATTTTTTCGTTTGATTTGCCTGTTGATGTTTGATATCTGATTCACAAACTTTAACTTCCACAGTTATGGATCGATAACAACGAGACTAACTTTCACCATTTGTTTGTTCCAGACTGTACCCGCCGGGCGCGGCTGGCATGTCGCTGGGCATCCCCGGTCCCAGCGCCCACTTAGGCTCGCTGGGCCACCTGGGACCGCTAGCAAGCGCCGGTTACTACGCCTCCACCCCCACCGCGGCCTCATCCGAAGGCCCCTCCCCTAGGAGGTCGCGTTCTCCCTCCCCTACGGACACGCCCCTAGATCCCGGATCGCCGCCGCCCGGAAATCGACGCGACACCCCGCCCTTAGGCGGGGGAGGCACGGACGACGACGAGGACACCATACACGTGTGAGACGGGCTTTAACTCTCTTATTGCGGTCGACACGGCTGCAACTCTGTGTGATATACATGTGTAACTCTACTTCTGGCACTTGACACGGTATGGTTCAACGTGCCTTTTCTGGTCAATATATTTGAACGATAAGTGTCACAAGACAGGGGAATTAAAACACTGTGTAGAAGAAGAATTCTTATCTATGAGGAAATATTTAAGTATACCGGTACCGATTCTACCTTTACACCAGGACTAACTAGATTTCGGTTATTTGCCAGACCAGGCACGATGAAATATATGTGATATCATCAGTTAGGTGGACATTCTGTATTATATTTTGTTTGAGAAGAGAGTTTGACCGTTAGAATTTCTGAGAATACAAATAGCAAAAATCAAGTTGGCCAATTAATAATTTGAACATGCATTTTGACTCGATCTTCTGGAGCTTTTCTTCGTTTTTTTTTATTTTCAAATCACGCGGTTAATAAAATGAGATTAGTTATTTGCTTGATTCTTAGAAGTTCTATTGGTCTTGGCGATACAAAGTATGGGACTTGTATTATATAAATGTGAATGGACGGAAATTTTATTTATTATTTGCGCTTGTCGATGTAACTCTTCATCTTTTTCTCTCACTTTGTATGTGGTTATATTTTTGAGTGTCTTTGGGCGTGTTGAACAAAGGAAAGTTTCAATATTTCCAAATTCACTCAATGACTGCTCAACATCTTTTGGTAAAGAAGTATGATAGTACCTAATCTGTTTTTGGTATTCTGAAAATGTTTTTGGAGTTGTACGACGTTGTAAAGTATCTGCCCCGTGAGATAAGTTTGACGCAATAGTATTGAAAAAAATTGAATAATAGTTTCAGAAACATTCCAAAAAACTTGACGCTATTGTTCCATTTTTTCGATACAATCGTACGTGTTCTAAGAACTTATCGAACGCCCCTTGTACTATAATAATGATGAACCTTGTAAATGACGTTTGTTTTAAGGTGATTGCACTGTGCGCGATCGTGAAATACATTCCTTGTTTTTATTTTTGGCTCGACGAGTATGTTTATTCTGTTATCTGAGTAGAAAATATAGAAATAAAGGATTTTAAGTTTTTATTATCAATCTTTTGTCTCATTCGTATATACCCTTTCCTATTTTTGTTTTCTGCAGACACAGCATCGCTGAATGCAAAATGAGCAAGTAAAGATTATGCAAAAACTGTAATCGCGAAAAATTTTGAAATTGAAAACTAGTTTGATAGCCAGATGTCGAAAATTCATAGAGTACTAAGCACGATTTGGAACGACTCATCCCTTATCCTTGAAACCTCCAACGAACTATAAAGTCAATCTGCTCGACATCATTTTTCAATCACGATCATTATATTTGATATTAATTTTTTTTTGTACGAATAAAAGCACCTACATGTGATAATGTACTGCAAAAACGCAGCACGTAAACTGAGAGGTATAACATGCAGGAATAATAAATAAAGACCGTCAATTACAACGCGGGGCAAATTATTTTTGCATAATGCTTGCTCACAGTGCAGTAAATCGTAATAACAAAGTTGTTACATAACTCGAACTCGAGTCCACGGAGCGTGGAATCGTTCCAAAGTAAATAATACGAAATTAATAAGCGAGCATTAACGTGTGTGTTTTGCCATGAAACGGCAGAGTTCAATTCATGACAATCTGAAAGGAATTTATAGTTTTGAAACTATTTCGGAGAATTTTCAGTGAGCGTTTCGTATCATCAAATCAGTTTTTCACTGAAAATGATTGGAAACTCCCGTCTTCCTATTCCAAATTTGAATTCGCAACATTTACATTTCGGTTTTTTTTTTCGTTGAGTTCGTCGCATTTTTTTTCGCGGAGTTTGTCCCACTTCTTTTCTTTTGGTCGGGTTTGGTTCAAATATCCCAGTAGTTCAAATGACTGATAGTTCAAATGTCCAGACAATGAAACAATTAGTACTTCAAATGCACAGTGGTCCAAATGACCAGTAGAGTCAACGACCAGTATTTTAGATGCCAGTACTTCAAATGACCAGTAACTCAAATGACCCGTAGTTAAAATATACCAGGGGCTCAAATGTACCAGTAGTTTCGTCAAGTTTGTCAAACTTCTTTTCGTAAGGTTTGTCATATTTATTTTCGTTAGGTTTGTGCAACTTTTTTCGTTAGGCTTATCCCACTTCTTTTCGTTGGTCTGGTTTGGTTCAAATGTACCAGTAGTTCAAATGAACAGTGGTTCAAATGTCCGGTAGGTCAAATGACCAGAATTTTAGATGCCCAGTACATCAAATGACCAGTAACTCAAATGACCAGTAGGTCTAATGCCAAGTAGTTCAAATATACCAGGAGCTCAAATGTACCAGTAGTTTCGTCAAGTTTGTCCAACTTCTTTTCGTAAGGTTTGTCATATTTATTTTCGTTAGGTTTGTGCTACTTTTTTCGTTAGGCTTATCCCACTTCTTTTCGTTGGTCTGGTTTGGTTCAAATGTACCAGTAGTTCAAATGTCCTCTAGTTCAAATGCCCAGTAGTTCAAATGCACAGTGGTTCAAATGTCCGGTAGGTCAATGACCAGTATTTTAGATGCCCAGTACATCAAATGACCAGTAACTCAAATGACCAGTAGGTCTAATGCCAAGTAGTTCAAATATACCAGGAGCTCAAATGTACCAGTAGTTTCGTCAAGTTTGTCCAACTTCTTTTCGTTAGGTTTATCCTATTTATTTTAGTTAGGTTTGTGCTACTTTTTTCGTTAGGCTTATCCTACTTCTTTTCGTTGGTCTGGTTTGATTCAAATGTACCAGTAGTTCGATTGTCCTCTAGTTCAAATGCCCAGTAGTTCAAATGCACAGTGGTTCAAATGTCCAGTAGGTTAATGACCAGTATTTTAGATGCCCAGTACATCAAATGACCAGTAACTCAAATGACCAGTAGGTCAGATGCCAAGTAGTTCAAATATACCAGGAGCTCAAATGTACCAGTAGTTTCGTCAAGTTTGTCCAACTTCTTTTCGTTAGGTTTATCCTATTTATTTTCGTTAGGTTTATGCTACTTTTTTTCGTTAGGCTTATCCCACTTGTTTTCGTTTGGTCTGGTTTGGTTCAAATGTACCAGTAGTTTAATTGTCCGCTAGTTTAAATGTCCAGTAGGTCAAATATCCAGTAGTTCAAATACCCAGTATTTGAAATGTACTAGTAGTTTAAATGTGCCTGTAGCTCAAATGTACCAGTACTTTTGTTAAGTTTGTCCAGCTTCTTTTCGTTAGGCTTATTCCACTTCTTTTCGTTTGGTCTGGTTTGGTTCAAATGTACCAGTAGTTTAATTGTCCGCTAGTTTAAATATCCAGTAGGTCAAATACCCAGTATTTGAAATGTACTAGTAGTTTAAATGTGCCTGTAGCTCAAATGTACCAGTACTTTTGTTAGGTTTGTCCAGCTTCTTTTCGTTAGGCTTATTCCACTTCTTTTCGTTTGGTCTGGTTTGGTTCAAATGTACCAGTAGTTTAATTGTCCGCTAGTTTAAATGTCCAGTAGGTCAAATATCCAGTAGTTCAAATACCCAGTATTTGAAATGTACTAGTAGTTTAAATGTGCCTGTAGCTCAAATGTACCAGTACTTTTGTTAAGTTTGTCCAGCTTCTTTTCGTTAGGTTTATTCCACTTCTTTTCGTTTGGTCTGGTTTGGTTCAAATGTACCAGTAGTTTAATTGTCCGCTATTAAATATCCAGTAGGTCAAATACCCAGTATTTGAAATGTACTAGTAGTTTAAATGTGCCTGTAGCTCAAATGTACCAGTACTTTTGTTAAGTTTGTCCAGCTTCTTTTCGTTAGGCTTATTCCACTTCTTTTCGTTTGGTCTGGTTTGGTTCAAATGTACCAGTAGTTTAATTGTCCGCTAGTTTAAATATCCAGTAGGTCAAATACCCAGTATTTGAAATGTACTAGTAGTTTAAATGTGCCTGTAGCTCAAATGTACCAGTACTTTTGTTAAGTTTGTCCAGCTTCTTTTCGTTAGGCTTATTCCACTTCTTTTCGTTTGGTCTGGTTTGGTTCAAATGTACCAGTAGTTTAATTGTCCGCTAGTTTAAATATCCAGTAGTTCAAATACCCAGTATTTGAAATGTACTAGTAGTTTAAATGTGCCTGTAGCTCAAATGTACCAGTACTTTTGTTAAGTTTGTCCAGCTTCTTTTCGTTAGGCTTGTCCCACGTCTTTTCGTTTGGTCTGGTGTGGTTCAAATGTACCAGTAGTTCAAATGCCCACTAGTTCAAATGTCTAGTAGTTCAAATGCGCAAAGTATCTCCAATATATTTAGCTATAAATATGTTTGTATGTATTCTACTTACTTATATTTTAGTCAGATCGAAGTTGATGTGAATCTACGATACAACATTACAGTAAATATTTATAAGAAAATAAAAGAGGTCTAAGAGGCTTTAACGTCGAATAAATAATCCATTAAGCTAACTCTGATGGTGTTCTGGTGATTAGTTTTGCGGCAATTAGTAGACTGATTACATCGCAGCATTTTGCCATTCAGCAGCAAAAACCCGAGCACTTAACGTTTCTTAAAAATGCTCTTTTACCATCATAATAAAAATATCTAGATCGACTTTGCCCGGCTACCGTTTAACGTTACAGATCATAAAGCAGGTTTGAATTAAATATTATGGGAGGAATTCACGCGATCTTACGAAGTCTTTGCTGTTACTCAGACACATTTAATTATTATTTGGTCTTTTAGCAGCATCTCAATGATCTTGGCAATAACTGGTACCAGAGATACTTGTCTGTAAGGAAATCAATCCTCACTTCTCAATATGAGCAATTTCCCCCGTATCTAATATTTTTATTGTGTATTCTTGTTACTACCGGTCACTAACAAGATTTTACCTAAACGCACCAATAAACCCGTGTAACCCTTTCTGCAAACATTCGGATGACAAATGAACGCCGCCCGGGAGAACAATTGCCTATCGGCGACAATAAAACTCAGCGGGCGAGCACGAGCAGCAGCCATGACTTGCTTTGACCGAAAGTAGCCTGATATTTATGTTCGAGAATTATAATTTATGAGACGGCATTCAGTGCTAAACGGCTAGCGAGCTCTAAACGGATTAGAGGGTTTATGAGCACAATTCTGAGATGTTGTTTATTATGCGGCCAAAAGTTAAGTGGTAGTAGCAGGTCGGATAACAAGATTACACGCTAAAGTTACCTAGTGAGGAAAGTAAAATAAGTTACATTTTATTATCCATCGCACGAACCATTTTCAAAGTTCGGTGGTACAGTAACGATGTTCACATTGGGGAGGTTACGTTATGATTTGAGTAATTTTCGGCATGAAAACTGTATATCCGATAATGTAACAAGTGTGGTTTCAACGTTGATAGGACTCCATTGTTTCGCAGCCGATTCAAGCCGCGTACGTTTCAAATACTTCTCAACGGCGATGTTTCGACCACCGCGTTGGCATTCTTCAACCACAAAGACGATTAATATCCGATGCCGCAGCTAAAGGGTAAAGAACTGTTCAGCTATGTTTGACATCGAAGGAGAATTTCTAGTTCGGTTCCGAGTGTGTGCGTCCGTGGTGCGTAAGCGTTAACTAAGAGCAGAATGATTTTCTCACGATCGGCAGCGGCAGCGGACCAAGCGAATTCCTCGTAATTAGCAGCCGGTCCACTCGAGGATTATCACACACGATCGACGATCACTCTTTGCGGAATATCGATACGTCAGCTGTGCCCAGGACTGCTGCTGTTAGATCATAATGCATGAAAACGATCTATTGAATTTTTTTGCACTACCAACTGACTATTCATTAAGATAAAATGGAAATAAAACGAAAAAAAGTTATCGACATCAGGGATTGAACCGGGGACCATCGGATTACGAGGCAATCTTCATAACCGCTACGCCACAATGACTGTGGTCTAGACATGAAGAGCTGGCACCGACAGACGAACAGTACAATGTTGCCATTATGGTTATTGTGGTAGATCTAATACTTTTAGGTATGACTGCGTTTATTTACGAAATTTCAGCGAATAAAGAAATGACGTTCGGGTTTTTGTTTCCTAAACCAATTTCAGGTACGTCAG